ATAACATCTATACATATAACATATATACAATGATTTTGCAGCATGCTCAAATTAGATTTAATTTTTCATATATTAAGAGAGATTATGTGATAACAATTCTTTCTTTTTTACTCTAGGGTAATTTAAGACCCTAATGTTCAATGTTCTTTCCTTCCAGGACTTTGTATTTTGCAATGTATTTTCTAAAATCACTTTTTTTTTTTTTACACTTTTGTTTCTGAACGTTTTAAATACAGGGATTATTTACTGCATACTCTAGTCAAAACCTGTTTTATTTGTAAATTCACTTGGCAGTAAATAAAAGTTAATCTCACTTCTTGTCTTGATCCCATGTAATCTGTTGTATGTCCAGAGAGGCCACACCTCCTTCACATCCCTTTTCTCAGTCGGAGGCCTACAATCTGCAGCCAGCGCCAGAGTATTCATTCACATCCTCTCCGCCTTACACGGATCCCCTGCCCAGCCAGCTGATCTACCAGAAAGTAACCAGGGACAAACAGACTGACAGGGACTTAGAGAGCACACACTCCTCTGCAGTGGAGAGTGCTGAGGTGCGATACATCAACGATCAGCCGGTCTTGGATAGCCTGAAGACAGAGCAGAGCTCTCACAAAGCACAACTTGTGATGGATAATCACGAATCAAACCCATGCTTGGTTCGGACCCCTGGCTCTTCTCGCCAAGGGGAAAGCTCTCCTTCCACAAGCCCTGGTTCAGTGTCCCAGCGGTTGGAAAACCTGAGGCGACATCAGCCGGATGACAAACTTGAGAAATTAAAAGAGCGCATTCGAAGACAGAGACAACATTTGGAGGAGACGGCACAAGGAGAGGCGCTTAAGGGTCATCTTAAGAAGCCAGTTGTTGCATTTGCTGAGGGTGACAGTGTTGGCTCAAGCAGCATGCCAGCAGCCAAGATACGCAAAGTAACATCAGCACCACCAGCGCCTATTTACAAAGGTACTTTAATAAGTCTTATTTCTATTAGCATGTGTTTTATTGCCTCTGTTAGGATCATGTTTTTATTTATTGTTTCTGGTTTGGAACCTTAGACTTTGCAGTACAAAGTAAAGTGCTACAATATGTGAGTTTCTGTTTTTATTTGCAGGTTTTAACAGCACAGAGACAAAGATCCAGACTCCTGATGGGAAAGTCTGGAAAGAGGAGGAGTTCCAAAGCCTCAGCAAAGAAATCTACGGAGACATATCACAGCAATTTTCCGGTAAGGGAAGGCTACACAAGGCTACTCTGTTTTACTCAACTATATTTTACTTTTCTTGTCAAAAGTCCAGACTCACAAAACCTTCCTTTTGTAGTTTTATTGTATGTAAATAGTTATGTAAAGGTATCCGTGGAGTACGGTATTGGAAAAGTTGACAACTTTGTGTGGTTTGATTAAAATTCTGCTGTTTTAATCTGTAAATGCATAGAATTCTTAAAGTAATGATTGCAGATTATGTTCTTAACGGTGAAACACCACTGGCTGGATTGTTTGAAAATAGTTTTCAAAGGCCTTTGAATGGGTGTGGGTTGGTTAGAGAGTCTCGATCTTAAATGAAAATGACTTTCTTTCACAGGTGAGGGAGGGACATTGCAGTGTTATTATGTGTTCTTTACAGACAAGAAAAGCTCTGGCACTCCAACAGTTTCACTTATAGCTCACTAAAGAAACTTTAAATCATGGGAACAGTGTGATAGAAAATAGTCATGTTTTTTAACCTGTTACATTTAGACAGCCTAAGACCAGTAACCAATCAATGCCTATCTGCAAGTCCTGTGGTAATTTTGTGCCTAAGCAGTGGTTTGTAAAATAAGAACCTCTGTTGTATTTAATCTGTGGGCATTTTCATTTCCTCCCTGTGTGTAGAGGGCATACAATCCAGGCATCAACAACACAGGGAACAGAGAGCAGAAAGATCCAAGGAGAGGCCATCGAAACCAGTCCGGAAGGTCCACAAAGTTCCCCCTGTATCTGAGCAGAATTCCAAACCAGGTAGAGTTGTCTTCATTGTATATCAGTCAACTTAATATTCAATATTGTAGTGCGTTATTGTTCTTATAAAAAATGAAAAACCCTCAAAGGAAGTCCTGTCATATACATTTAAAAACATTGAAAGGCCTGTTTGCATTGAACACAGAAAGGCTTTGCATGCTTTAGAAGTAACATTAGGGAGAGTATGAACAATTAGGAAATGGATGCATTCATGTTATAAAATTCAAAAACCTAAACGAAAAACATTAATGGTTATGACTGAATATACATGTTTAGTGGAGCTTTGAATTGTAAATGTATTCTTGTGTATCCGCTTCCCTAAAGCTATTTGAGTGTATATGTCAGGGTGTGAGTAATGTGTTTTAGTTAACCATCTTAGTTATGTCAGGGTAAAAGCTGTTCCTCTTTTCTATTTAGCGTTTACTCCCTCTTAGTCCCCACTGAAGGGCATAAGTATGAAAAGTTTTTGGACACATTGAATGGATTCAGAGATTATGTTGATGTGTCTGAGGTCTAAGCTGCTGACCTAGATGTGTCTTGCATGCACAGTTTTCCAATCACTGCATCATTATAACAGCGGATGCTGCTCCACTGATCCAGTTATAACATTAATCCCCATAGATTTTTTTCCTCCATGTTGCTCTACAACCAACAAAAAGCACACAGACAAAAACAGGTTTTAGCTACATACTACTATATCCTGGCCATAAGAGGACACTTTGAAAATGAATGAATGATTGGGTGGAGGAAAACATTTTATGTAGCCCCATGTGATTATTTGCCATACTCATCTTGTGCTTTCCATAAAACAACAATATAATCTTCATCATTGCTATATTTATAGTGAGGAAGTGTGATTTAACTTTAACAATGTCTTATTTATTTATTCAGCCTTTTTAAAATTGATGTCTGTTTGTTTTTCTTGTATGTTTTTTGTTTGTCAGATCTTTCCCTTTAACAACTTTTATTAAACTGTCGTTATAGTTTTTATTTCTGGAGAAATGTCCAGCAAGCAAAAATTTTTTTTTTTGTTTGTTTTCTGAGTTTTGGGTTAGTATCGTATATGTAATAATACATCTGACTTATTAAGTAGTTTTGAACACATGTATTTTTCAAATCACTTGTATTCTTGATCACTATTACCAGCGTATAAAGAAATGTATACACTTTAATCATTTAAAATGTTGAAACAGTCAACGCTAAGCCTGGAAGGGGGCCCTCCAATATTCCTTCTTTTTTTCTTTGTCTTTTTTTTTTTATATATGAAGCTTTATTCAACACTTTGGATGATATTCCTAAAAAGGATTACGTCTGTAAGCAGTGTGCTGCTGTGTGACAGCTACCCCTGTGCTTGTGGGTCACCCTGGTGTCCTGAACCGCTCAGACCTAAGTCTGATGGCGATCTCATTTAATTAGTGGTTAATTAAATGCAATGGTGTGAAGAAAGAAAAAAGTATTTCAGCCAAAAACATTTGAACTGATTATCAAGACCTGCCTTGTGAATATAACCTAAGGGTGTGCCCTGCTGCACTGAGGAGGGAGCCCTTTTTAGATGCTAATATCAGAGATCTTGCTCTTTTGGTCATGACCTTAGCTGAGGGTAGGAATGTAAAACAACTGGGTTTTCAAAGCTTTGCCTTTTAGCTCAGCTCCCTTTTTCAACACAACTGACCAGTGCAGCATCTACAGCAGCGACCACATTGATCCATCTTTCGATCTCCCGCTTCAAATACCGCTCATTTGTAAAGAAAACCAAGATATACAGTAACTTCCCCACTTGAGGCAGGAACTCCACTCTGACTTGCTTTAGTTGAAAATAGTTTAAATCCAATATTCTGGCTCCTTTATATAGTGTTTACTGTCAAGTCTGAGATTAAAAAGTTATGGTTCAAAAAGACATTGCTTTCGTTGTACCAGAACATATCAGTTAAAGTGAAAAGCTGCTGGTATAAAGGCTACTAAGGAGGAAGAACTGGGATTTTCTAACGTTGTCAGACCAGGTGGTTTGGGTAAATAACTTACTGCCATGTTTATCAAAACATGCGAAAGAAAAATGTAAAAGATTTCTTCCGGTGTTCCTGTCATGTTTTGTGGTGCCTTGTGTTTCGTCAAACATCTATTCAACTTAGTTCCACTATTTGTTTAGCAGCTATTCAAAACATGTCATGTAAGGTAGCTACAAAACAATAATAACCACGTCCAATTTAAAGCGTAGTTGCATAAAGGTTATTCAATAGAATTATAAATATCTTTACGATTATATAAATATAGGGTACTATTAAATTATCCGGTGAAGAAATTTAACCGATGACAGTAAAACGTGGATGTAGTCCATCAAGTGTGACCAGTCTGTGTTTCGTGTTAGGACGGTGCTATAAATAGGCCTCTGCAGTCTGTGGCCAGGTTCAGCTGGCTCATCTATTTAGCTAAAACAGGTGCTTGGTTATTTGATGTACAACCTGATTACTTGGAACTGCTCTAAATATTTTCTGTATAAGACATTGCACTGCACTGAGATATCTGCCAGAGCAGGAAAAACAACACGGCAATGGGCTGTTGATTGTGTAAATGGTACAAGGTAATCAGATAAACTGAAAATGAGAATTTTTTCAGAAATTCCTTCAGAAGAAACTTCTTTTTTGTTATAGTTATTGTTGGAGTGTACTTGGTATTCATAGAATCTATAGTTCCTAGTTAAGTTTATTAAACTTAAATTTCTCTTCACCTGCTATGTCATTCTGCTTTAATGTAATGCTGTTTTATATAGCACTTTCTAAACTAAGTATGTTGCTTTTCCAGTGATAAGTCCTGCATCATGGCGTGAGGGACAAAAGCTAGTAAAGATGGTACTGGGTCCCCCTCCAAAACTACCCAGAGAAGAACCAACTTCCCATCCAGCTGGAAAACAGACCCAAGCAGGTGGGGCTCAGGAACATGAACTCACCCCTCTATACATGCCAGCACATGGTGTTCTTTCATTAGATACTGTCTGAAGTGGTTACAGGAAAACATCAAAGACTGTATAGATGGTTTCAACAATTCAAATAGGCCTTCAAAACCAGATTTAACAACTGTAGGTTTTACAATAATGATGGCATTAATTTAAGCAACTCTTCTAAATCAGCTTGCTTGCTTGCTTTATTTGTTTTTAAAATCATTTTAGTCCAGACTGCATCTAGATACCAGTAAAAATCTCATTTATTCAGTTTAGTCTTGTCAGAAGTCAAATTGGCTGAACTGATTAAAGAACTGCACAGTGGCAGATACTTGGCAGTCAATAGGCAAAAGTACTTGTGTCATAAATATGTTGTATTTTGGCCCTGTCAGTTTTTTTCCTCTGTTCTCAGAATGAAAGCAGAGCTTTTTCCATGAAAGGGTTTCCTGGTAAACCTTTGCACTGTTAACAATAGAATGTACAAAGAAAATAAGAGCTACTATAAAAGAAGATGCAACCTGGTTTTGGGGGAATACTTCATTCTCTTTTTTGCTTTTGCCTCTCAATCACCATTGCTGACAGAATCGAGCTGTTTCAGCTTTCTGAGAGTGATTTAATCCCACTCAGTTATACTCGCATTCAAAGCCCATGCTTTGATTTTTGCTTGAATATATCTGCTCTAAATGTCACTGACCAGAACAAATAAAGATTGACTGTCTGGTCAAGTTGAATGCACAATATTATATGGATTGATTTTCATTGGTTGCCCAAGTGCATGCATCCTCTACTGTGTGTAATGTCAGTGAAGTTCAGTGAAGCTCTTCAGACATGCTCTAAAAAAATCTATCCGGATTAGATGGTACATAGTAATGTTCACTTTGACCTAGATTAAAGTCACTGTGATTAACCTTTCGACCAAGCCTCATTCATTATGGTGATCCTTTCTGGATCTATACTGCATTCCAGATGTTTTATTTTTGGCTTTTATTCACTTGTTGAGTATTTCAGGACAGGACATTTCAAGATGCGATAATTGTCAAAATTGGATTTTGTGTTTTATTATATTACACTATTTTTACTTCAAATTTAAGTTAATCGGTATGGCAAAAAGATAGGGACCAAATATTACCATGGGTAATAACTGCTAACTATCAAAAAATGAACAACCACAAAACAAAACCAAAATGACCACAAAACAAGACAGAGCTGAACTCTAATGGATAGAAACCTTGATTATAGAAGACCTGAAAGGTTCATCAAATTGTATGTTAAGATTTATAACTTTTAGTTTGTAAACATTCATTTTAATTTTCCCCTCTTTCTAACCAGTATTTGAAATCCAGTTCAGAACTACATGGAGTAAAGCAGCATTCAGTTAGTTTTTTCCTGTGTATGTTTAATAATCTGGACATAATTGCTGTATTCTAAATCTTTTTTTTTTCTTCTTTAATTTTTTACCAGCTTCCAGACACCCTCATCAAGATGGCACAGAGAGGCCTCGCAGTGGTTTCCAGGAGAAACCGTCCAGCCGCCCTACAACCTCATACAATCACTCGTCTTCAGCCAAGGACAGGATGCCACAGGGAGTGAATACAGATGTTTTGGCAGTAGATATACAGGGGATTCTTGATGACCTTCAGCTGGATTGCAAACCAGCTGAAATGGAAGAGCGAGCCCGTAAAAGATCTCGAGGTGGCAGTGGTAGTAGAAGAGGCCGGGGAGGGTCAGGTTCACGGACAAGGGCTCCTGTCTCTGCTTGGGGAACTACAGTTCCAACTTCCAGCTCCAGAGGTTGCCGTAGTGCCAGTCCCACTAAACGGCAACATGATGATGCTAACAAAGCAAGCAAAGGTCAAAAGAAGAGGCACTATGATGCAGACACAGTCCGCCAGTATATTGCACAACAACAAGAGGAGAGAAAAAGGCGACAGGTAGAAGAGAAGAGGGCAGCAAAGGAGGAGGCTGAGAGAAGAAATCAGAGACTTGCAGAGCTATACAAGAAGCAAAGAGAAGTAGCAAAAACTGTGACCCTTTCCACTGAGGCAGCTGTGGCCCCCGTTCAAAAACGCCTGCAGGAGACCTACACCAAACTACTGCTGGAGGATGCCCGGCTCGGCGAGGAACAACCTGCGCACCTTTCTGCACCTATTATTCAGATGGTAATACTCGTACCAATAACAAGACTTGTCTTATGTTTAAAATATGCTTTGTGCTTTTTACAGGTATTTCTGAAAGTCTGACTGTAGTGGTTTTATTAATTGAATTAATGATGAATGCTTTACAGAGACCCCTATACCAGCCTTCAGGAGAGTCTGACAAGGAAAACAAAAGACTAGAGGTGTCACAGAGCCCCTCAAGCAGTGACAAGTCTTTAAATGAGCTGCCACCTCCACCATTATCCAGGTACATGATTTAAAAATATACTTATCTGGAGTTTTGCTCCAATGCCTTTTTTTTTTTTTTTTGGCACTGATACCTGGCTGTGCAGTATCGGCTGATACCATCTGTTTGAAATTGTGTTTGTATGTGTATATGAAGAACTGCATACTACTTGGATGTAAAATAGTGGCTTGTCAAGCTGCTGCCTACCTTTATGAAGCAGGAAAAAGACTAATACAAAGTGAATCTAGTAGAACTTTTTATTGCCTACCTGGAATGGGTGACAATAGTTTTATAAACTTTTGGCTCTCAAAATGGTATCGACGCCCTATTTTGTCGGTACTCGCCGATACCAATACCACCATTTTAGTGCAGGATCGGAGCCCTGCCCGATACTGGTATCGGTGCAACACAACTTTTCTGTGCAGTTACTTTGTGTTGTTAAGTCATCAAATTGTTAGACAAAAGATTAGCAACAATTTACACTCCCCAAAGTCAGAAGTGGCTATTATAGTTTCTTTTGATACTAATTATACAAGACAAACCATTAACTTGAAGCTGTAATGTATACATCCTTTCCTGTTAATGAGAATCTGCGTTATATTCCTAACCTAGAACTTTTTTAGCAAAGAAAAAAATAAAATCCGACACGTATAGTATCCTATACCTAGTGTATAAAACAACACAAATATGTTTTTTTTGTCTTTTTATAGAGAAGCAATTATTATTCTTTTTAAATTTTACCAAAGGACAACATTCATTGGATGATTGTAAAGAAAGATTTCCTGAAGAAAGAAAAGCTGATATATTTTTATTCTCTTCCAGATATTTTAACTTTCCGTTGATATTTTGGTTTTATGTATTTTATGCGTTCGAACTGATGTTCCTAAGTGTGAAATGTTTTACTTTGTGTTTTCATTCGGTAGAAAATGATCAAAAGCTGTTCATATGATGGATTTATTATTTTTTTTTTCTGATTACAAGTAATCTGTTTGTTGTTATTTCTTGCAGGAACGATCTCGAAGATTCCTTTTCACTTCAGCCTGACCATCTGAATCCAGTTTATCAACCCACAAATGTTGCCACCAGCAGTGTACAAGTTTCTTCCAATGAACATCTTCTCTCTCAGATTTTAAGGCTGGATGCAGCAATGGCTGCTAGTAGCAAGTACAGTGAACGGCCAGCTGTTGCACCTCAGTCCCACACCAGGATGTCTCGGATTGAAGCCCTAAAGGCGAAAGCTACATCCTTATCAAACCGCATCGAAACAGAGGCCCGAAGGTTTGCAGGACAAGAGATCAACTATGGCGCCCCAACTTCAATGGATGTTGATACTGTTTTACCTCCCAGAAATTCTAATGTTGATTTTGAGTACTGGACAGAAATCCCTGCTTATGCTACAGAGAATAGCGACAAGTCCTTTAGGGTACACAAAGCTGCCACAAGTGCAGGTTATACAACATACACAGACACAGCTCTTCCAGGAGCAGAGAACCTGCATGACTTGGTGGAAAAGACGTACACCAGTCTAACAAATCCACATACGGTTTCTCCAGGTGTAAATGGGACATCTTTAAACAGTTACTCTCAAGAAAGGAGGAGGAGGAGGATTGTAGTTGACTTAGGCTTGAAAGAGAAAGAAAATCCAGAAGATAGAATAAAAAATAAGAGAGAGGAGAATGCTGTGTTTCCATATCAGTCTGATCTCCATGATTTAAGTTCTGGTTCCATTAGTGAGGGACCTCTACTGAGCGAGGGAAGTTTTTCTGAGGGAGACTCAAGTCCACCCCAGTACTATAGTAACCGTGGGCGTAATGTAGATTACTTGGAGGCAGCGGACAACAGAGCAGGTAAAAGCAGTAATCACAACCGGCTGTTGGAGTTCCAGAGGGATGCGGCAAAGTGTGCAGCCCTCAGCCCACCGTTTTCACAGCTAAATGGTAGCAAAGCACCATGGGAAGAGTTGAACAAAGGAAGCCCTCTGAGTGTAATTAATATTTTCACCAAAAATGTCCAAGGCCATGTTAAAGGTAAGTTTAAAAATCCCTACTTTTTTTTTTTTAGTTTTATCAATGAATAACATAACACTGGTTTATTTTCTATGTTTTCCATTTTACCTTTCAGTGAATGAAAGAGATTCAGAGAAATCTCCACACGGAGACGACCAAGGAGATGCAGAAGTCTATTTGGATGACTTTGTTTCATCACATAGCAGCAAAGCAAGCAGCCAGTTAAAAAGGGGATCCAACTCTACAAGGTAACAAAAACAGTCATCCTTAGCATGACCACTGGGTGGCATTCATGTCACACAGTCTTAAAAACCTAAAACTGCACATATGAATGTTCCCCTATTTTAAAGACTAACTAAAGACTACCATCTTTAATTACTAGGCATACAGTTTCTTTTTTTGTTTGTTTTTTTGGTGTACATGTATGTATCAAAATTCTTTTTATGGTACGCTGTTTTATAATATCGTGAATGACCTACCTGTCCATGTTTTGCATGTCCGGATTTATAATAACCACTTTAAAAAGTAGATCAGGTAATACAAGAGTGATTTATTGCTGACATTAATCTTTTTAATTATCCAGTCACTCCCAGAGTATGTCCCCTGGTTCAACACCTGGATCCTCACCACTTTCCAGGCACTCCACAAGTAAAAGAGGTATGATTAGTTTTTGGCTTCCCTGTTTTGACACTAAATTGGAACTCATTGGGTTGTTATGTAAACAAGTGGGTTTAATAATTCTTTTTCTGCAAACAAGCTAAGCCTTTTCTGTTAGCCTTTGCTCTAGTTTTTAAGTTTGGTCCTTCTAAAGGGCTCCCAATAATGGGGTCTGAAAAGTTACTTTAAAACACAAAGGGTTGTGGAATTGAGGAGAGCCCATAGAAATCCAATCAGGATTTTGATTTAATAGTTTTAGCAGAGCTATAGATTACTAGAAAATGAAACATTGTTGTGTTTAGCCATTTTACACTTTACAAGTGTTTGTTGGTATCGTTTCTATGGTACAAAATTATATTGTCTATGTTTACAGCCACCATTTCAGACCAGAGTGATGCAACTCTTGTAGAAGAACTGAAGGGTTCACCGCTTTCAGAAGCAAATTCCTCTGACCACAGAAGGAAAGCCTCAGACAAAAGTTTGAACCAAGCCCAGGACAAAAGTTTAGATTCTGACACATTAGGAGGACGTTCAGCCCATTCCCCCAGAAGGTAAGCAACTCATGTAGACTATTAAGAAAGCAAGTCGTTCAGAGCATGTATAGAAAGTGGAGCAGGAACAGACATACACAACCAATCCATAATTTCAACAACTTACCCATAGTAGGTTGAGCATGACATGGGAGGGATTTTTTTTATTTTGATTGACAGTTTGCGCAGCTCTGTGACAGACAGTGACTGTAGCTCTGCTTTCTTTACGTTTAAGAACATCACCTGTTGAATATTCAATATATTAATGTTGGTGCAGATGCAGAAAATTGTTTTTATTTGTTGAACACTGGGACAGAAGTGAGAAGTGTGGCACAGTCCCAGTCAAATCAACATAAGTGACTACTACAAAAATGTTGTAGTAAAAATACAGAAATATTTCAAGTTACTCGACTAAACTGCTGCATCATAGAAAAAAAAATCATTATGTTTGAATTTTACAGCAAAATTTTTTTAAATGCACTTTTGCTTTACTCTTAGGAGCAATAAAAAATTCTTTATTAAGTTTTATGATGTCTTTTCCAATCCAAATCTATATATTTGAAGGGGACTCTAAAAATGACCAGATGTGTTTTGACAGTGTAATCTAACAACCAAGGCTGTGTATTGATCTCTTGTGCTAAATAGGATAGAGTCCAATTTAAGGCAACTGCATTAGTATTTAGGTTGTATCTCTGTGTGTATATCCCAGAAAACTATGGTTGAGGGGCTGAATCAAATAACTCAATCCAGATCTGTAGCTATAGATATACATTTTTAAGAAACACTTGGGATGTAATAATGTCCCTTAAATCAAATATACATCAGGAAAGCCTTGTTGGGAAAGAGCTGACTCTATCTGAGCTAAAGTACAACAAATATTTGTCTGTTTTAACCAGTAACTCCTGGTCACCCAGGATCCTGGCTTTGTTGTTTTCGGAAGAAATGTAACCTTCCTATGAAGATCAAGCTAATAAGAACAGTTATGACTTACTCTACTGCTTTCCTAAATTAAACCAGACTTTCCTTTGCACTAAGAGTAGACTGTTTTAATGTCACTCCAGGCAATAAACAATCTCTTCCTGGTAACAAAAAAAAATATATACCGGTGTATATATATGCCACAAAAGTGAAATTAAGCAAGGCATGGCTAAAACACTAAATGCACTTAAACATGGAAGTGTTAGTGTACTGGTGTAGCCCTGTTTGTTTTAGCACCAAGTGCCAAGCAACACAAGCAAGCAGCAGTACGACCTAAGTGTAGAAAACACTGGTTACTTTGTTTTGCAGATCAGGCAGCCTTCCGAAATGTTGGCAGTCTGCCAAGGAGGAGTAGTTGTTGTTTTTTTCCCTCTTAATCTCTCTTCATGAAGTAGAGACATTTGAGCTCACGCTGGTACTTTGAAACCCATGTGTCAGATTCTTCGAATTTTGTGGCATCAGTGTGTCCTGTGCAGGGAAGGCTTTACATTCTGCTAAAACTCTTGACCGTTAGAATGGCCTCTGAATCATAAGTTTTCTAACTCTATTTGCTTGTGTTATATTTTTTCTTTATCACTGCAGAAATTATAAACCACTGTTTATCTTTTCTTTATTGACAGTTTTTTTTTTTTTTACTAAGATGCATTTACTTTTTGAGGTATGCTCTTTCTAAATGAAATGCAAGTCTTTTAATTAGATGAAGAGGCCCTTTAAATGTTTTTAGTACACCCACACAGACAAAAAACCTTCTCTCCTAAAAACTGCTCCTATGGCCAAAACTTACATGTGTCAATTACTATTGTTCCCTTTGCTTTGAAAAGAATAGATAAATCCATTTAGAAATCGCCCTTGGTTGTCTCCTTACATGATTTGGGCACCTGAGAGGGGAAAAAAAAACAACTAAATCAGTAAAGATACAAGAAAAAAAAATGAAGACAAAAGCAATTTGGAAATAGATGGGAAGGGAAAACTATTCCATACACCTTCAGTGTTGTATAGAGTAAGTGATTTTTGGATTAAAATTCGATTCACTACAGAGCTGATGTCTAACTTCGTTATAAAGTTTAATGTAAACAAAGAGATTATGATTGCAAAGACAGGTTGTCAAACCTAAAAAGAATGCAGGAGTGGTTTTACCAAATCTAAACCCATAGTTAAAAGAAATGTATTAAAATAGTGCCATATAGCAACATTTATCTATGTTTTAAATAAGACGTAACTTGTCAAATGTGGACTTTTTTTATGCTGTTTTGAATCAATTCTTAGAGGATTTAAATGGATTATTAAAAATAGGCTTACTTGATCACCATCAGAAACCTGATTAGATATTGATATCGCTTCCATCAGGTTAGTAACAGATCTTTGATTGCTGTTTTTGCAGACGCAAACTGGTTTCATCATCCTGCTCTCCAGACCTCAGTTCTCTAACTGCAGACTCTCCCAGTGAGCATGTAAGAAGGAGCTCTAATAATCTGAAAGCATCCAGCAGAGCAGAACTGAGGTCCACAGGTAAATTAATACCACACTGATGTATTGATTTTTATGTCTGGCCAAATTAAAGTTAAACGTTACAGATATTTTCTCACCTTGTATTGATTTCTTTCTTCCAGGTGAGTTGCAGTATTCACCGGCTGTCTTGAGACAGCGCATGGCGGCAGAAATGCACTACTTGGAGTCCATCGAAGAGTCAATTAAACAGCTGGGAGATGCAGAGAGGCTTATGGGTGTGTCTATGGCCCAACAGGAGAGTGCATCACTGGCTCAAATGCTTAAGGTAATGAAAAATATTTTGAATTTAGAGAAGTAACAATGATGGGATTGTCTGTGCCATTTATATTTGGATACAAGTAGTGTTCCACACATACCAGTGTGGTATTTTAAGCATTTTACCAACATCTGGGCTTTAGTTATGTTCGAATATTACCAGGTTGTTGTATTTATAAATCAGCTTGGGACAGTTGGGCATGATGGACACAACTAAAAAACATAAGTACCTAAATTTTATATCTACTGAAAATGTTGTTTAAATGGTCAAACACTACTTAGATTTTAGTAAGTTTGACCACAAAACTACTATTTATTTACTTTTTCTCATAACTGTTTTAAAAATTTTTGTTTTTAGTTTGCATGTAATGCTCAGTCATATTTTATTTTACAGAGATGGCAGCAATTGATAATCTGATCTAGTGCTGTTTGATACTAGGTAATGTGGTTTTGTAACTTGTGATGACTATCTTGGTTGTCGTTAAACCACATTTTGTTGTATGCAGAGCAGTCTTGCATGTAAATTAACATGAAACAGTGAAACAAAATTATGTCAAAGCTTTGACATTGCTGTGGTGATTTAAAAGGTTTTGCTGTACTTGTCCCTGCTGTGCTTTTTTCTAAAATAATTCAAGTATAGCAGAAGCTGCAAAAGTAGAAATAATACTTGAGAATAATATATTTTAATATTTAATTTGTTCTCCTTAATTGTTCCTTTGTTTTTGCAGTAATTGTTCATGTTTTAAAATTACCCTAATGACTTCTCCTAACTTAAGGCTAAGCAGCATCGCCATGAGCAGGAACTCTATGAGCTAAAAATCAAGACGGAAAGAGAAGCCCTTGAGGCAAAACTCCAGCTTGAGGAGAACAGACAAAGGGTTGCCAGGGTATGCCTCCCCCTCTTTTTTCCTTTTCTAGTGTCTGATGGAAAAATCACTGTTTGCTCTTCATATTTTCAGTTTCAAGATGCAGATTTTTACATTGAAATGTGTGCAATGTTTATGTATCATTTGCCTCTAGGCTCATTTAGAGCTGCAAGAAAACTTGGCAGCTTCACAAAAACAGACTTTGGAAGGTCTCCAAGAGTCAGCTTCTAAGATGGTTAGCCAACAGGCTGAAGCAGCGCGGTACACAGCAGACGCTGCCCGACACATTAAGGAGGTTAGCAGTAACTTCCTCCTTATTTATCTGAAAACAAAACATTATTTTCGAGTTTTACATGTCAAGCTGATTGCTTATAGAAGAGACCAAAGATCCATATATATATAGCAGCATTAAATATTTGTATCATGTTTCTGACTTGTCAGATGGCAGAACTTGCACAGTCCCAGATTACAGGACATTTGATTATTCCAGCCATTGCCACTGAGTCGGCTGTATTGGACCATCAAGAAGAACAAAATAGTTCCCACACCAAGTCACATGAAAGTAGGGGTGACTCTTACAGGTAAAGTATGGCCATTTCTTAAACTTTCTGTCTTCTATTACATTCAAATATATGCCTTTATATATTTCCAGATTGTATAGGCAAGTTTTAATTCAGTTGAGTGGATTTACATACATTTTAATCCGAGACACTTTTTTTTTAAGGAAGCGCCAATTCTATTGAATAATATAGAATTATTCCAAGTCTAATGAATGCAGTCCAAATCGATGAGCCAGCAGTGGATGATTGTTTCCATTAAGACATTGAAATTCAAAGCCTTCACACTGAGCGTGTTTGTAGTGACAGTGGGTAGTTGCTTGCATTGTGTTGTTAAATGTAAGTTGAACTGTTCGTCAGTTTGAGTAAACTGTTATTAGAAGCTGGTCAGGCTGGACAGGGTTGAGAAAATGATGGTAGTTGTTCACACAATGCTATATATCAGCACAAAGTTTAGAGCAGGGTTCTCACTTTTTTACCTTTAGGATGATGCATTTACATATTGAAAGAGATCGACCAATTTAGGAAAGTCCAGATCTGTCCTGCAAATCTTGAGTGACATCTTGTAATTGCCGAGGAGCCACCCTGTCTGACACAGAGTTGTGTATTAAACTACGACTCTTCTTTCTGATCTGGTCAAGACTAAATTGCATGATTCCAAAAACCATCAAAGAAGCACCTTAGATATTACATAGTTATATCTTTGGTGCACTAAATATTTTGTTGTTTAATATATCTTGGTTTGTGGTTGATCTCTTACAGTTATAAAAGTGAAGTTTCAAAACGAAGGGTCAGGTCTGGTGAGCCCTCATCTTCTCAAAACAGCCTCAGTCAGCCTGACTCGCTATCTTTTAGAAGATCAAATGTCAGGTAGCCAATAGCTTCTTTATACACATTTGCCTCGCATCGCAACAAAAGGCACTGATAATTCATACGTAATTCTCAATCCTCAGTGCATCTCCATGTGGAAGTAACCAAACCAGCCCATCACGTGCTTCATCTGACCACAGAGAAAAAGTGAAAAGAGAGCCTGTGGAGAGAAAACGGAGGAACGAGAGAGCTGAGGAGAGGGTAAAAGAGGAAGCAGCCTGCAGCTCTATTGAGGAGGATATTCCAGCAGCAGCAAATGACTCAGTCTACAGCGAAAGGATTCTCTCTCTAGAGGATGAGAAAGGTACTTAATAGCTTTCAAATTCTGGTAGGTTCTATATGTCAGATACCCCACTGCACCCACTTAGTAGTCAGAAACTAATGGATCCCTACCACTATTATATTACCAGTGGAAGCACATTGTTCCTCATAATTGTACTTGGCATGTGCATTACCAATGTTGTCTCTGTTCCATCAGGAGAAACTACATCTGTGGCCACTGAGTATTCTCTGAAGTTCGATCAGTCCATGACGGAAGATGACATAGAGGAATGCTCTTTCCGTTCTTTGCTGCCATCTGAAGCTCATCGTAGAGGAACCATGCAGAAAAAGTTGCACCATCAGAGGGAAGCAGAAGATTTTGGAGCCAGTCTCGATGAAACATTGGTCCCAGATATGGGATCATGTGGTTCCTTTAAGGTGAGGAGACAGTCCAGACTTCCTAAACCTTTGTGCTTCTGTGGTTATGGAAAATGGTAGTAAATATTTACTGTTTTTTATTTTTTTATTTTAATCACTTTCTTTTATTTATTTATTTATTTTTTTGTCTTTGTTACCTTATCCCATTTTCTTTTTACCCTCGGCTCCTCTGAAGTCTAAGGATGCACACATAGCGTTCTCTAGTGGGCAGGACAGTTTTTCTAAGTTCACAATGGAAATGGTACGACAATACATGAAGGATGAGGAGGTAAGACTACAACATCAGAGTTCTCTGTTGCATCTACGCCAGAAAGCTCTCAAAGAAAAGACAAGGACAGAGCTAGCCTGGCTTGAGCACCAGAAGAAGAAGCTGAGAGACAAGGGTGAGGATGATAAAATGCCACCAATCAGGAAGAAGCAGAGGGGACTTCTGCTTAAGCTCCAGCAGGAGCAGGTATGTTGGGACAAATTGCTGTTTTGACTAATTGCAAGGTTGTATAATTTTCATCAAGATCCAGTGTTTTGTCTCATTATGCAATGTTCTGTTTTATCAGGCAGAGATCAAGAGACTCCAGGAAGCCAACAAAGCAGCTAGAAAAGAAAGGCAGTTGTTACTGAAACAGCAGGAAGAGATTGAACGGATGAGAAACTCAACACTCAGACTGAAAGAGCGTCTCAAATGTGCAGAGGGAGAGGCTCCCCCTGTAAGTGCTTACTTACCCTCCGCAGAAGGAAGGAAGAACAGATTATTTTTCTATAGAAGCAGAGCCTAAAGCAATAAAGGAATTCCCTGTGTGTGTCTCTTGTAACATTTCTAGGAAATTCCAATGTCAGAACCTTCAGGCACTGAACTGTCCTCCCCGAGGCTTCCCGATGAAATGCGCAGTCCCTCACCTTCGCTATCCATCTCTGGAAGTGAGACCAGCAGCATCATGCAGAAGCTTAAGAAAATGCAGTCTCACATGGATGAAAAGTAAAGATACTGATTTAATTCCTATTCATGTATTGACCTTTCTGCAAACTATTATAATTAATTTGCATATTATACAGGTTCCCCGCCTATTTTTTTTTCTATCCATATTTTTTATTTATTCACAAGCTTAAAATTTTTTGTTTGGCCAGCATGCTGTGCTATTTTTGCACTTCACAGCTGATGTGTAGAGGAATATGTTGAACCCATTATTACCCTCCATTTAGTGATATAATTTTATGAACATTATACACCTTAGGACTCTTTTATCCTGAGAGGTTTCCAGTTGTTCGTTCTTGTGGGGTTTTTTTTTCTTGCCCCTACAGTAGTTGTGGTTATCTTTGCAAAAGACTGATTGTTCTGATCTTATTAACTATCAATGACCAATCCCTGATATTTCCACAATGAATTGCTCAAATGTATTATTAGATTGGGAATGATTAGGTGGTAAGCGGAGATGAATGCATTTAATTATATAATGAGCTGTGGAAAAGGTGACAATTACCAATTCAAACCATACTTTTAGTTTTTCGGGTTTCATCATTAAGAGGTTATTGTGTTGTTATCACAAAAGCTTACAACCTTTATCACGATAATATTTCTCCCAATAATATTCAAGTATATATTTATTGCCCCTCCCTAGTTTGAAGCAACATGCAGCTTTAAAAAAGCCCAAAAAATTTTTCACAAGCCCTGCTGTGCAATAGAACCACATTTTCTCATATTGCTCTCTCCCTCTCTCTCTACGTGTTCTTTCCCTCTTTTGTCTCATTGTCTTTTTCCAACCTGTGTGCGTGTCTGTTGTTTGTCTGCACCCTGATGTGGCTCTTTTAAATGTCTGTTCCGTGCCTGTGTGTTGTAGACACTGTTCCCCTGTCCACTGCTTCTTCTCTGTGTTCACGGCCCACCACTGGGCCTCTCTCAGTGTCTGTCTTCCCAACCTCCACCCTAAATTCCAGCTCTTTATCTACAACCAGTTGGTCAGGTACTGTATAGTGCTCTCTTTCTCTACCTAGCCCTGCTTGGCCTCACTTCCTCTCCCACCCCCACCCCATGGAACATGCTTGTGTTCATCCACTGACACTGGGACTCTGTGGAGCGTGGGCTGGTGGGTTATGCTTGATTGGATGTGTGTGTTTTGGGGTTTTTGTCCCCCCTGTCTTTTGTGGGGTATTAAATGGTCTCCGGGAGAAATATTGAAATGAATGCTGCAAAGATGCCCAGAGAAAACTACTAACATAGAATAAGATAACTCTCTGCTTTTGAATATTGGTGCTGTGAAAGGATTCCTCTTACTAAAGTGTTATTAGGTATTTTTGATGAGTATGAAACAATATTTTTCTAATTTCTTTTCCCTTTGATTTCTTCCAGTCTTGATATGAATTATTAGAAACAAAATTTGCTGAGTTTCTATTTAATTACTACATCCCTGTAGGGTGTTCAAATTCAGCCCAGTTATCGATGACAGACAGATTTTGAAATAAGAAGACACTATCTCAGAAGTTAAGCATTCTGTAACAAATAGATCTAAGGTCCTGTGCTCCATCCCTGTAATGAGCTAAGTGAATCTAATCTTGCTCCTTTGCTATCCAACTGTTGCATATTATGGGATAATAGGTACAGATGGTTCTTGGCTGTAATTGAGCTTAGTTTCTGGGTTGTCATCAGTATATATTAGGTCAAGAGAAAAGCTTCCTAATTTGATCGCGGCTAAATAACACTGCATTGTAACAGCACCCACAACTGAGAGGCATGACACGACAAACACATCTATACCTGACTCCTCTCTGTCTCTTTTTTTATTTTTTTTTATTTATTTTTTTTTTTTAAATACGTTTAGCATAGAGAGCTTAAAGAGAATAAAATGGTTTAGAGAAAAAGAATTAACTGATATCTATTTTAGATTCTATTTTAAAACAAACATTTACTTTATATTTTTTATATAAAAGACCACCGTCAGTGAGTAATATATCAGTAATGACATGTACTGGCTTTCCTAATGGAATATTGTCTGTGCATATGTTTGTGTGTGATTGAGCCCCATGACCAACCCTAAGCTAGCAGTGTGATGTATGAATTTAAGCTCTTTACTTTTTACTCCTATTTCAAACTGAGTAACATTTCATCACCTTTTTATTTAAAGGGTACATGTGCATTCCTTTCTGGAGTAATATTTCAAGCATGCATTGAATGCGTGTGTTATTTTTTTTCTCTGTTTTGCAAAGGTTTGAGGTGAGTTTGCAGTAATAACTGGGACGTTTTTGGTCTTTTCTTAAAGGTCCTGTTTTAATGTTGTTTATGCTTTATCTTTGTTCTGTTTCTTCTCATTGTTTTTTAAATAAAATTTTTACCATGTTTAAATCCTTTCCTTTTTAAATCCACTCCCATCTTTATTCCCCGTTTTCTTTTTATATCACAATCCTCTTTCTATTCTGTTCATTCACTTCCCTCTCATCCTATTGTTCTTTTGCCAACTATCCATTTCTCTAGGTTCCTGACGAGGCGAGAACAGCAACTGATGCAAAGGCGCCACCATGCCGAGGAGCTGCTCCAGTGGAAACAGCAACTGGATCAGGAGGAGGCTGAAGTCCGAAGGATGGAGAGAGAGGCCTTGGCTGCCTGGGACCTGAGAAGACCTCTGGACAAGGACCGTAAAACGTCTGAGAGCGATGGAAATGATATCTCTGAAACTGGATCGCAGGCTTCTCACCGACAAAGCTTAGAACTTAGATATGACAGTGAAAAGGGTGAGGTTGTGGTTTCAAATTAGCTTCATAATTCCTTGTTCTTGTTGGAGGGTTTCACTCTTGTATTTTTAGAGTCAACCTGTTATGTTCATGTAATATTACTAAACTAAAATGCATTCTGCTAAATGTATCAATTTGTGCATCCTTTTTGGGATATCACCTGTTTAACTCTTCCTTGTATGTGGCAAAACAATTATGATGGAACCAGTTGATCAAATTTAGGGCATGCTTATCTTTGTTTATGAAACAATGTATTCTGCAGCTTGTATCAGTTTAGTGTGTCAATTTAGGACACATTTAATCAGTGTTAATTTCATATATATATATTTTTTATCACTGAAATTTTAATTTTTACTTTATCTTTCAGAGCTTGTGAGTGAAGACAACTGCTCCTCAATTGTAACGGAGTCCAGTATACACACAGAGGGACCGGTTTCTCTGCACCAAGAGAGTCCAACCTCAGTGCAACTGGCTTCAGTGGGTGAAACACCACAAGCCCCGGTTTATAGCAGCCCCGCTACTTACACTCAAGACTTTTCTGCTGAGTCTCAATTACCGGCTCTAAAGGTAATAAAGGTTTTTTTTGCTAGTTTAAAAGGGTTCAAAACATATCCAAAAAATGTTTTATTGATTGCACAAACACATTATTAATGCTCATTTTGCACTGATCAGTTTATCTGTGATGCGTGATTCTCTTTCCATTTCTTCTTTTACTTCCTGTTCTACAAAGTCCTCTTCAATCAAAGACAGCCAAAGCCCTGCTGCCTCTCCATCAGATTGTGGCAGTAAGAGCAAGATGCAACTTCGCTCCACCTCCCAGGTTCCTGATCACCTGACAGCTGTGCTGTCTGGTGAGTTAATCTTTAGAAACGCACATTTTAGCAGTTCAGAACCATTCAGACTTTTTGTTTGACAAATATTGAAGAGATAAAGCCCAGCATGGACATAATGCAGCTGTATTGCGGGCTCTATTTGTTCAGTAAGCTGTGGTGTTGCCCGAATTAAATTTTAGAAATTAAGTGATGCCTAAACTGCTTAGCTCTCATATAGAGAGGACAAACGCAGAATTCTGGTTAATGTAAAAGTAAAGTTTTGCTGTTTGTTAGTAAAATGTTTAATTTACTGACAGGCTACAAGCATAGACTCTTAAGCTACTTGCTTAATGCTCTTTGTTCATTGTGTTTATGAAAATGAGCTTTACTCTCTACCAGAGAGAAAATGTACAGTAATTTGTTCTAGTTTCTGTGGGAGAAATGTGGATTATCCCCTACAAAACATGGGACTAAGCTGTGTTCACATTCTAGCTGTGATTCTTTTTTCCCCCAAAATTTTCCTGCAGAAAACATTTCAGACCAGAGTGACATTGAGAGTCGTATCAAGGCACTAAGGGAAGAGCTGAGAAAACGTAAGATCATGGCCTACCAGCTGAAAAAAGAGCAGAAAAAGCGACACAAGGAGCGGCTGAAGGCTCAGGAGGCACAACTATTGAAGAAACTTGAGGTAAATATGATTGTATTTCATTTGTGCATTTGGCCATGCAAAATTGTTGATGATGTCATGATGTGTCCATTTATCTCTGCACTTTCTTTTGCAAGATTCCTTATAGCTGAACCTACCCTGTTTGCGCTTTGTTTTTATTTCTAGAACTACAACGATTTCATTGAGAAAACCAAAGCAGAGCTTAATAAGGAGCCAGACTCAACACCTGATACTACGTCAAATATAAATGATTCCAGCTACGTTTTGGAGCAGTCATCTATCAAACCTTCTCTGCACAGGTATGCAGAGGAGATTCAGACAATGCTAAACCCTCCAATACATAGGACCTTGCAAAATATTTTTTAAGAATACATTTTATTTAAAAGCCTGATAGTAAAAGCAGGCTGTGATTATTACCTTTTTTTTTTTTTATAAATCTTTTTCTAATTCACAGTTTTATACCACTTTGTCTGTCTAACTTGTAAAATCACACTAGAATGAAATATGAATACTTTTGAAGAGGACTCTGTGTACAACGTTTTTTAGCATTGTAATCATTTTAAGACAATCTCCTTTTCAGATCTGACATCAAAAGCTCTGACTCTGCAGGCACAGTTATTGATGCTTCACAAAATCATAGTGAGTGGTTTATATAATATTTGTGTGAACACATTTATCACATGCAAAATATATCTCAGATGTATTATTAATACAATACATTTTATTAATTCTCTTCTCCTTTATGTTTTTGGCAGATACCTTTCCACAGTCTTATCATAGCCAATCAGCTTCCAAAGCATTGCCTGAAGATTTACCCAACAAGGTCCCCAAAACTCCCACTGTGACTGAATACAGCAGACCGTCTGGCGGTCATTCATCAGGGTCTCTTTTAAGATCTCTATCCAAGCCAGAGTCTGAGGATGAGAAGGTTTTGTCTGACAACAAATCTGATATTGAAGAACAGTTAGATGTGGAAGTACACTCCAGGTCTGAGGATGAACAGTCTAACCTTCTCAAACCTGACTCCCAGGAGAAAATAACTGCATCTAAACAAGACCCCCCTATCATAGGCGGGGAACGTGAAAGGTCTGATGGCTTGGATCAGGAAGAACAGAGGACTGACAGAGAAATATCTGAAGCGGAGGATGCTGTGAAGTCAAATACCTTTATACCTGGTGCTCAGTATTCTGCTGCCGGTAATCTGGAAGCTTCATCACACGTAAGCTGCAGCTCTTCAGCCAAAGACCCCCCTCTCACACCTGACTCAGCAGGCTCTTTAAAAAAACAGCCACTCTGTAAAGATGTTGACGTGTCTCTTGGCACCGATGGTTACCAGGAGGACTTTGAATCTGCTCATTTTTCACCTTCAGAGGATCATATTTCTAAGCACGAGTCTCAAGTCTCTTTGTCCCAAATGGAAGTTAAGCATTCAAGTAAAGAGTCATCCAGGGCAACCCCCACTTTTGACACCCAAGATGAAGTAGAAGAAGAAATACCCGAAGAGATAAGTCGGCCTGCTAGTGCTGGTGAGCAAGACCTTCATTCAGAAAAACTTGTGGATTTCCAGCATAATGGAGAAGATTTAAAATGTGAGAATAAGACCGAGTTTTCCAGCCAAGGGGTCGCTTCTCCTTTGGTTCTAGATGAAATGCCAGGTTTTCAGCTTGGAGACCGGGTCCTAGTTGGAGGCGTTCAACCAGGCACCCTGAGATTTAAAGGTCCAACCAGCTTCGCCAATGGCTTCTGGGCAGGTGTGGAGTTGGACAAATCTGAAGGAAGTAACAACGGTACTTATGATGGGGTTGTTTACTTTGAATGTGAGGAGTCCCATGGTATCTTTGCTCCTCCAGACAAAGTCTCACACCTCCCAGACAAGTTTGAGCTCTATGCAGATACTACAGAAGATGAGGACTCTTTCTTTGATGACTTATCTGATAAAGGTGGGGAACAGCAGAAAAAGGTTAAAGGCAGTCCTCAAAAACCAAAAGATCCAGAAATCAAAAACGATCAAACATTTAACAAGGACAACAAGTCTAGAGATGTAAAAGATTTGGATGAGAAGGACCAGATCCCGCTTGATTCCAAACTGATCCTCAATTCACAGCATCAGAAAAAACCTGAGCATCAGATTTGTCATGTGAACCTTAAGGATGTGATTTTAGACTTAAATGAAGCATCACATGCATCCCTTATTCCAGATCAAGAAAGAACTGAGGAGAATGAGAAGAAAGCAGCCATTGCTGAGAGAAATAATACTGACATTAAGCAGGATTTGATTCCCACAGATCGGCCAGCAGACATCAAGAATGATAAGAGAGAAGAGAAGGACGGGGATCGGCTGGACACATTTACTGATAAGCTTCTCAACAACTTGATCAAAGATTGTTTTAAGCAGTGCTCTGAAATAAAAAGGGCCAAAGAAGAAAAGATAAAAAAGGCCAACCAGTTAAATGGATGTTTGTTTGTTGGAAATGATGAAGAAAAGTGGATCTCTTCAGTGGGGCAAAAAGATAATCTACCGTTCTTTCTACCTGCTGAAAAGGGGGAGTTGTCTTCTCCTGAACTCTGCAACAGATCAGTGAGTGTTTCTGATTTTTCTTAAAGTATTTCAAACACCTCAAACTTTGTTGATGTAGATTATATGAAATGTTACTTGGCTTCTCAACCGCTGGGATATGATCTAGCTCTGGCTAATAGAAGTTGTTTACTTGACATGCGAGGCTTTTAATGTGTACAGTCAAAGTCCACCCATGTGTTGACAGACTATTGATGCGTTGGTAAATACTGAAAGTTTTTATCTTTGGTTGCAGAATGTACAATCATTTTTTTTAAGTTTAAATGTGTAAAATGCATGGATATGATTGGATCTCTTCTGATATATTACATTTTGTCATAAATTACCTTATGACCCTCAATTTGAGACTAAAACAGTGCATATTTCTTAAACCAGGAGAGTCCAGTCTTTGGACCTAGTGGCCAAGAGGAGCTCGCTAAGCGTTTAGCTGAACTGGAGCTGAGCCGAGAATTGCTGGATGATATTGGGGATGATCAGGACTGGTTCGATGAGGACTTTGGTCTCAGCTCCCGCAGACAGCAGCAGAGACTCAAACAGAAAGAAGAGCTCGGAGGTGAACTTGGCAGGTCATTGGGCCCACACATGGGGGCCATGGTTTCATCATTAGGTGGGGACTCGCAGGTAAAAACTCCACCAAGACCAGAGCTACCCCTCCCCTTGCCTCCCAAACTACCTGAACAGCCCGCCATGATTGTGCCCCACTCGGCCACAGAGGTGGAGAAAATGGTCCATTCTGCCACACAGGAGATCTGGGAGGCTTTTGGCCTGGGGAAGGAGGGGGCGCTCATACTTGAACAACTTTCAAAGCCTACACCATCCCTGGAGTATTTAGGGAAAGAGTCCAGCAGCCAGGACCAAGATGCCCTCTCCATCATCAGTTACAAAAAGGTAAAACTAAGAAATTGCACACAAAAAAAAAAGAAAAACTGAACTGACAGAAATCACCACACAGATTTTCTTCTAAAAATAAGTAGTGAATCGAAAATGCTTAGGAGTTATAAGTCGAGGATATTTTTTGTAGGATTTAATTAGAAACATTGAGAACACCCGCCTATTGATATACAGTGAAAAAGTTCACTTTTATTGGGATTAATCACCAATACAAGGGATTTGGTTTCAATATGAAATCAATAATTTATGAAAAGGGGAAAATGTAGGGTCAGACACAGAGTCCCAGCCTGTTAATTAGCTAATTTTAAAGAAATCTCCAAATTATTCCTAAACCTGGAAGATTTAGGCTGAAAGTAACTTATTTACGGTAATATACTACTTTTTTTTTCTTTTACTGTAAATGATCATTTTTTAAAGCTGCTCAGCAAAGTCCTGACTTGGATCTGATGGTGAGATTGTAGGGGAAGCTAAGGAGTAGGTAGGTAGATGGAAAGAGGGCCTTCCAAAAACTCCAGCAGAAAAAACACAAAAAAAGCTGGTCAGCAACTATTAGAAGCTCTTAGATTTTTTAATACTAGTGATGAGTTTTCCACAGATTATTCAGAGGTGTGCAAAGTATGTAATAGCTTATAGTTTTTAATCAAACGTAAATAACAGATTTTTTATTAATGTTTCTTTTGCATATTTTAAACTTATGTTGACTAGTATTATTTTTACATCTTAATGCACTAGGGGCCAATAAATGTTGTTAATAAATTGAATAATTGTTACTTGTTCAGCATAAGGCTGTAAAGTTTGAAGAGGCTGCAGTCGTTTTTACTCAATAGTAACAGACATGTTATCCTAGCCTGACTTTTTCAATATCTGCCCTAATATGCCTCTTCAGTACTTGACAGAACTATTATAATGTTAACAATTAGCTTTGTCATTGGGCTATGAACTTATCATGCAGCTGAGTAGGTTTTCTTATCATTTAAATTCAGCCATCAGAGTGGTGATAATAGAGCAGTAGGGTCTCTTTTCATTATACGAATTACTGGAATCACCTGTGATAAAAACATTGGGTAGAAAAACAAAAAACTTAGTAGAGGGTCTTTATAGAACAAATCTGCTTGGAAATGGAGGCACAACTTTTAAAAATCTATGATGCAAACATTATTTGGATCATATAAAGTCATATACCAAACACCATCAACAGGAGTCGGTTTAGTTTAATTAAGAACTTTGTTGCAGGTCATTTAAATTGCCTTGGTTACATGCATGTCATTGTCCTAATGTAAAAAAAAAAATCTCTTAATCTATTTTGAGGTTCCTTACTTGCATGTCACAGCTTGTGTTTTTTGGTTATATCTTTTCCTTAGGCCGTGTTTGACCTTACATGGGAGTTACTTAAGGAAATATTTGCTGAAGATCCGAATACTGATCAACCTCAGTGGGTCAAACCACGTCAAGTAAAGTCCTCCTTCATTCACAGAGTCAAGACCGCTGGAGACATCAACAAAATTCAGGTTGAGTTCTGCAGCTTTTTTTTTTCTTCTTGTTCGCTGATTTCCTTTAATACAATGTTGCATATTTATTTACATAGTATATTAAGCAACTAACTCGTGATATTGTCTTATGTGGTTTGACAGGAATTTGTCACAGAAGAAGTACTTAAGCTGTATGGTCTGAAGCAAGATCAGAGTCAAAAGACTGACTGGCAGAAGATGCTCAAATTTGGCAGGAAGAAGAGGGACAGGGTTGATCACATTCTGGTAAGACCTAAACATTTTATTTTTCTATGTCTTTTAAATTTTTTAGGCATTTGCAGCATAAAATATCACACATGATGTCTTAATAGTATATTTAATATTATGGATGGAATTTAAACCAGTCTTTGTTATGTGGTGTTACGTTTTTTTGTAGGTGTCTCTAGAAAAAATGGCCTGTTTTTACCATTTGAGCAAATATTGTGCGTTTATATATTTAGGAGATTTTTTTATTAATTTACATAAACAATGAAACCTCATTTTTTTTAAATAAGCTGTGTCTCTGTTATGCAAGTAAATGCAGTAGTTAAGTTTTATTAGCATTTAACAATTTATGCATAAGACCAAAGCCTTTTATAAATGGAAAATCATTCATTTAAATTAGACTCTAGAGGAAAAAGTGATTTATTTTTTTTATCCTCCCCCCTAAAACAGGAAATTGAAGAGAATGTAAATTTTACATCAAGGTGTGAATGTTGTATTTTAGTTTTTTCTCCTAGTCATTGAAGTGAAGTCTGTTTTTGTTTATTAGGCCCAGGAACTCCATGAGGAGGAGGCCCAGTGGGTTAACTACGACGAGGACGAACTGTGTGTCAAGCTCCAGCTCGCAGACAGCATCTTCCAGACTTTGCTGAAGGACACTGCTAACACATTCACACTTATTTCTGACAAGAGAGCCAAAAGAGGAGCTCTCTCTTGACCGCCTGGATTTTGAATTATGGTCTGTTGCTCTTAGTCCTTTCTTGCAACTGAGAAATATAAACCACGTAACAACTCTTAAGACTTCACCCGAGCATTTCACAATAGAAAACCCCCCAAAGGCCTTCAGTTCAGTGTTTTTCTTACAGACAGACTCACTCCAGCTGTAGCTTTGATTTACTTATTTTCTTTTTGCTTCTAAGCAGTCAGGCCTTCCCAAAAAATAGCATCTTCTGACCTCCTAGCAAGAACTGGTTATTTTAAGAAGACTAAATGAGGTAGACATGAGAATATCCATGAATGCTGCTAAACTGTTTGTTCCATTGTGGGCTAAATGTACTTTCCACATGGAAGATCAGTACATTGATTGGATATATGTGGATTTTTAAAAAAAAGGTTAGTAATAGGTTTAAGCACTGCAACAGGAAATAGGTTTAGTGCCGTATGTTTACTAAGAACAAGCTTTGGCTTGTCATGTCCAGCTGAAGTAATTAGCCTGAAGATTGTGAGTTTTTTTTATAAGCAACATTTATATTGTAGACATAATTATGGCATGCCTTAACTTTGGCAAAAACAAACTTATGTCATCCCTAAAAATACTAAACACTGGCTGTAAAATGGTTTTAGTGTTAAGTTGAACCAGCGCAGCCCTCGCAACACAACATGGATGTAAAAACCCTTGTTTGTTTCTGATCAGCCTGCATTTTATCGGCACATTTAAAAAAAAAACAATCTTCATCTGTTTAATATTTTGCCCCCTTATTTATTTTATGGAAAAGCTTGATTGGGGATAAAAATAAAATCAAATCTAAGATGTAAATGATTTTTTTTCAACCTGTAGAAATGACATTTTTAACATGTAAAGAAAATCTAAAGTTATTATTAAAGCACAATTTTAAATGTGAATATAGCAATATATTAGATAAAAGGAACCAAGAGAAGAGCATAGAGAAACTGTTCTAGTCCTTGAAGCTGTAATGTTAATAATTAACTAAAACTATCTAACTGCTGTCCCTTTAATGCAATCACTGCATCCCACCTTCCTACTGGATGTAAATATTTGGTGTGGATTTCGACCTGGAATGAAAATACCTCCAGAGATTTGTGCTTGGTTATAGTAGGTTTTGTGCAAGCTGATTAAATTGATATGCAAGTGGGACACAAAACAGGCAGCAATTATGGAAGAATACTGAAATGCTGGATTTTTTAACCTTCCTGCCTACACTTAATTCATTTTCCCTAAACACAAAAAAAAGCGCTATTCCATTTTTATAAGTCTTTACCGGCAAAAAACTTGTCTTTGTAGCATCATGTGCTTTCCTGCAAAATGATCTTTAAACAAGCCTTATAAAGCACCCGGTGGGATTACTCAGAAAAAAAAAAGAAAAAAAAAATCTCCTTTTTCCATTAAAGTGCCTCCTGATTCTGTTGATGTTTCAGCATCCTTTGGACCTGTTGTTTTTTTTAAATGTCTGTTTTATCATCTGTATTCTACCATACTTTTTGCAAATGGACCTCAGAATGGCTGCTTTTCCTGTTTTCTTGTCCTCAATGTTCTGCCTTATCACTCTCTTATGTCAAGATTTAGTGAAGAACATTTTCACATCCCTCCTCATGCACCTCAGCATGAGGCGAACATCTAAGGAAATCTAAAGTAACCTTCACTGTGGATGAAAGCAGTGGACAGTCCAACCATGAGTGACTCCAGCCAACATGATTCACACTGTGAGTCTTTGCCCTGATGCCTCTTAGCACATAGGACTACATCCAAGGGCTCATTGGTTTTCTGCTGCTTTGGTCAAACAAAACTATGTACCAACTTTTTGTGACGTGTTTAAGAGGTCTTTAAAACCCTTATTGACTCTATAGCGAAAGTGACCTTAAATTAAGGAGGCGGAGGTGGTTCAACTGGTGTATGATGAGGAAAAAGACCACAACTCTTTGAAACCGGTAATCTCTATGCTGTAGAACTTTGTATGTTAATGATTAAATGAGTAGTTTTTGCAAGATGTTATGGAAAACCCTGGAATTGTCCCTTGAAATTGATTGTATATGGGATGAAGTTAAGTTCCCGTCTGAATCTATGCAGTATCTGGTCATCTTCCATTATTTTTAATGTAGAGACTAAGAAGCTTTTAAGCCCCTGATAGCATCAGGCTGTCCACTGACCTTTGGTCGGTTTTCTTCACAGAAATGTAGCGTAGCGTTGACCTTAGAAAGTATTTGGATTACTGTAAACAAACAAAAAAAGTTGAAATTGATGCAACATATTTATCTCAGTAGCTTAGCATAGAGCTCCTTGCCATATGTTTAGAAATGGTTGTGAATATTTATAATGTCCTGCGAGACTGATGGGTGTAAATATTCTGTTGATCCAGTTTGACCCACTGTTACTGTAACCTAAACAGTTGTTGTAAAATAAATACTGTTGATTTTTGAAAATATGTACATAGTATAGATTTGTTAACTAAATAAAATTTGAAACTGTAAATAAAGCATTCACTGTTTGTACTTGAACAAGTTTTCCCTTCAGTTTTTTTTATTTTTTTACTGGGTGGAATGTGTGCAAAGGTAATTACTTCAAGTTGTTTGGGGGCAGACAGCCGAGCGCAGGACTTTCATTATGTTTACTTTGGTAACTGAACTCGGATGTTGTGGTTTGTCTGCTGTTTTTTTGTGAAACCCAGGATAACATGTTATCATGGTGGTGATGAAGTTTTGGATTGTACCAAGTCATTTTTTTAAGGCATGACTCTGGTGGAGCTCTCCACTGTGAAATTGAAATGACAGATTAGTTCGTAAAAGATGATAAATGTAAGAGGATTTCTTTTTACAGTTCCTTTCTTACTGTAAAAACAAGACTTCAAAATAAAAGTTTCATTTAAATTACAGTTGTGTAGGGAAAAACGAATAAAAGATGGATACTTTAAGGTAATTTGTGTTAACACCAAAACCTGAGGAAATATCCACTGCAGAATTGCATAAATAAACTATTTTAAATTAAGTTCTGCAACTGAACTTATTGTGGTCAACTGCAATTTCAACAGTACATTTAGTAAAATCATTCATTTTGACAGCTAGAAAACCATCAATCCAGACAAATAAGACAACAAAAAAAATCCCCTCGACTCTATATCTGAAGAGCTTTGGGTGTTTTTCTCATTTAGATTTTTTTTATTTTTTTATCTAGAGCATAGTCTAATGCTCAAACTGCTAATATATATACGTATATATGATTTTGGTTGACGTTTGTTATCAGACTTGGCAACATTGTCAACTTAAAAATAAAAACAGAAAGATGGAAGCTTATTTAAAAAAAAAAAAAAAAAACAGGATTTGGATAAGTTGTTTACCCTCCATAAAAGTCATTTCATCCCAGTGCTGTGTGTCCCTAGCCCTGAACATCATCAATGACCCCTCACACCCCCACCATGGACTGTTCTCCCTGCTGCCCTCTGGAAAGATCTCTGAAGCATCCAATGCAGGGCCAGCAGGTTCTGCAACAGCTTCTTCCCCACTGCAATCAGACTGCTGAACTGTTGAAAAAACTCTAAATCATGTCACAGACTCTGCATCACACTGATAACACTAAACCAAAACACTGCATAAGTGCACCATATATATTTAATGTTCTGAACTTCCATATCAATGCGTTTTGGCACCATGTTTTTTGGTCACTGCAGCCCTTTATGAAATGAAAGCTCATTTTGCTGCTAAGCTGCCTCTCATTCACTGTCTAAAACACTCTGTATACAAAATGACAATAAAAGTTGTCTGTCTATAAGTTTCTTGAGGGACTTCTGGTCATTCCTTTTGTTTAAGCAGCAAATGCAGGGATTATATCATCATGGGTCACATTGAGTGGATATCTGAAACAAGTGTTTCCCAGATGAACGCAATCTATGTCAAATAATCTAATAATAAATGTGCTGCATCATCAGTCATTAAAGTTCCTTCCTGTGGGCGTGAGCTGCAGCGCCTACACCTCAGATTAACTTTTTAGTCATCAGGTGGAAGAGAGGAGTTTTTTTTCTCACTGTGGATTTGGCCCTTTGCTCGGCAGTGGGAGGGCCCACTCATGGAGCTGACCTTAAAAAAACAAACCAAGTGGGTAGAACAAGTTGAGTGAAGTTTGTGACAGTGGTTCAAACTGCTGCAGCTCGGATCGGGAAGATGGCGCGGCGCAGCGGCCGTGCCACGTCTCGGTTTATTAAACTACAGGAGATGAACCTGAGAATGATTGCAGCCTTATTCTTCTTTGTGTGTCTCGCTTTTCCTCCCGCTGCTGAAGCCGGACTGTACACAGCTTCAGACCAGATCGTGCTGCTGTCTCAGCAGAATGTGGGCTCGGTTCTGGTGAACTCCTCAGCTGCCACTGTCGTGGAGTTTTACGCGTCGTGGTGCGGCCACTGCATCTCATTCTCTCCCATTTACAAGAAGCTGGCCAGAGACATCAAAGGTTGGTATGGAAACGGTCCTTGTTTCATCTACATTTCCACAATATATCTTTATTTTTAAATGCATTGTTTCCCCGCTTGTTGGCACAAAATAAAAGCTTTAAACTTATCAAGAAAGGCATAATTTCAATCATCACACATGCTTTTAGCAATAAGGAGATCACTATGAAGATCACTGTAACTCTAACTAGCAGAGAAATCTGCAGTTTAAAACTTTCCCTGTTAGGGAGGGGTGAAAATTTTGTTCAGGGCACAAGTGATATATGAGGCTATTTTGCCCTCCCACCCACCTACACTAACATAGGGCACCAAAAAACACTTGGAATGTTTAAATGTCTAATGTTTCATAAAATGGCACAAAAACCATAGAATTATATTGATTTAAGGTTAAAGACGCCAATTTTGCTCTTAACTTTTACTAAATGAGAAAGGAAGTAAAGGCACGACCTGCTTACAATCTTACCACAAAAACTCTTTTTTTAAAATTGCAAAGTTGTCACATCCAGACCCTGTAGAACTAGATTATATAGACCTCCTCCAAGGGATTTTAGTTGGCTTTTTAATCAGCTGTGATATAAAATGATCCTTATGAACTGTCAATTAGGGACGGCTGTAAAAGTAAAGGCTTTATAATGAAAGCAGTGGGACTTTCTTTTTCATAATCTAGGTTTTATCATAAAGTTCTGTGGGAATAATGTTTTTCTTGGCACTAAACAGAAAAGTTTATATTAGAGCTCTCAAGAAGAGTGCATCATTTCTGACTGAACAACAATGTCAAGGTCTTTAAAATATAAGCTCATATAGTTTGTTTTTTTAAGTCTCACCTTTGAAATGTTGAAATTGATTTCTGCTTCAGATTGTGTCAGAAACCCTCAGCAAAAAGTAATATACTTGAAGTAAATTCTATTAAGAATACTAAGTATAAGTTAAGGAAGTATGCCGAACAATGTACTTTTAGTGTACTTGAAGTATTACTAAAGTAATAATTCTTCGAACTAAATTGTGACATTTTAAAGTTTACTAAAGTATACTTAAAGTATACTTTAGTAAACAATAAAGTAAACAATAGTATAGTCAAGTACACTTGACTATACTGTTGTTAAGTATATGAAATATAGTTTAGAATAAGTAAACTCTAAGTGCACTGCCTGATTTTAAGTATGAAATTAGTGCACTTTTAGTATACTTGAATAAACTACTTTTTGCTAAGGGAATGCATCTGACAGTTTAAACCACAATATGTCTTTTTGTTATTTTATTTTTTAAACCACTTCAGAAAGTTACTGTTAAATATTTATAATTGCAAATGCATAATTTATATTACAGTATTGCATCGGCACATTAGTTTAATTTAGTTTTTCAGCATGGAGGCTGGAGGGGCAGCAAGTTATTTTTGTCTGTTAAATAGAGCATGTGATCTAATTAAATAGTTTGTATCTAGCTCTATATTGTGACTCTTCATAACATCATGTTAAGGTTCTTTCTGAAGCTCATTTACAGAACAGTGAGAATAAATATCAGAGAATATTAGTAACGCGTAAATATTGTGATAAGGACAGTAGCCATTGGCATCTAACTGCTGGCTCTGTAGGATTAAATGTAATACCTGATGACACTTTAAAGTGTAACTCACCCCAAAGTCTACTTTTGTTGCAGATAAAGAGGCTCTATGAGGTGATTTTTTTTTTTTCACATTTACATATATTTTCTTGTTCTGCAATATTTGTCTCAAAACGTTCATAGCGCAGGCCTAAGTGGTAACACTGTGGTTATTATAGTGAATTTTCATAATAGGCCAAAGGTATGTGCTGGTACACACTCCTTTCACTAATACAGACTTTAATTATATTATCCCCACATGAGTTATAAATTCAGCTCATCAGACACATCCCTCCATGGCAAGTAATTCTGTCCTCTGCCGCCTTGGCAGCACCAGCTTCAGCCTTTCGAGGAGCTTAAACCAATAAGGTTCTGGTCACCTGGACTCCACAGCCTCTATCCTGGAGGGATGTGAAAAATACAGTTGGGTGCTTAGAATCAATTGGAGGGTGCTTCTAACCTTTCCATTCCAACAGCAATGTCCCAATTTTAAATTTTTGTTTCCTAATATCGCTCAGTCAGCTGACCAAAAGAAGCCATCGAATACCAACAAAGAGAATTCACAGGAGTGTGTGTATAGCCATCTGTTTGCACAGCTGCATTTAAAGTGTAGCTGAACCGTAATAAAAAGACAGTTGGCTACGTGCAACACTTGTGCTCGGATCGTTTTATGCAAAAGACGGCTCATCGGCAACATATTTAAACTTTAATGAACTCAGGAGAGCAAGAGCAATGGTGTTGTTCTATGATTAGGAATTGTGTTCCCCTTGCCTCCTAGGCGCACTTTCCATGGGAAAAGCAAAGCCTCTTTTTTTTTTTTACTTCCTTCTACATTCCGTTTTAACAGACACCTGCCTCGTTTCATAGAAATTCATGATAGAGCGCATTTATCTTGACCTGCTAGATTTAGAGTTTAAATTTTAATAATTTTCTTTAAATTTGGGATTTTTTTTTGTATGATGAAATCCACTGACTGAAACGCGGTTATCCAATCTCTTTCCTCTTCTGTCCACTTATAAAACATCACTACTTTCATGTCCAGCTGAGTAAATTCTATGTGTAGTAAACAATGCAGGTACTTCTGTCTGCCTGCAGCAGTTCAACACCTGTTGAACTGCTTTTACCTCCAGCTCCACCACACAGCCTATTGTCATAAAATGTTTCTAAAATACTGGTTTTATTTCAGTATAAGTACCTGCATCATCAGACTTTGGGTATATATATATATATAAATATATTTTAATCAGGTTTTCAGGGATAAAGCTTCATGTGATAGTGTAACCCTGAGAAAAGAACACCCAAAAGATTTGTATTAGACTTGTTAGGTTTGATATTTATGAGCTGGTTGAAAATTACCATGTAATAATTTTTCAATCTTTTTAAAGCATTTAAGTGTTTATGACCCTTCCCCTTAAAAAGCAGGAAGCAGAATTGTTCAAATAAAAGATTAAAAAATCCAACCCTGTTGAAAAATCCTCCATGTCATCTATCCACGGCATAGCTGCCAACATCCCTCTTCGTACTCCATGCTTCAGTAACGCTAGGCTAGTCACCACTCTTTCTTTCTTCTTGACAACGCCCCCATTTAACCCCCCTTATAATTTTTCTGTTGCCTTGGTAATGTTTTTTCATGGGATGGGTTAAACTGAAATGAAGTGCAAATATAAGGTATATATCGTTTGTTTCTATCTGATACATTAAGTAGAAAAAACATTGCAGAAGAAAGAAAACACAAACACAAAACAGCCAGAAACTCAGACAGAAGAGTAATGACATTATGTATGGATCATGGAGCTCTGGAATGAATGCCTTCTGCTATTAACAGAGACTGATAAGGTATTGAATCAAAATACTCTAAGTTCTATTGTCAGTTCATATTATGATGGGGAAGTCAGGAAAACTTGTTTCAGAGCAGTAGTTTTGGATACCAAACAGATAGGCACCTATAAGGCTTTTAAAGTGCTCGATTAAATTCAGCCTTTCTCTAATGCCACCGCAGACAAAACAATAATAACTGGTCAACAAACCAAATAAAAAAATATCTACAGGTACATTCTGCTCCTACGTTAACCAGTATTTTGGTTCTAATAATAACTGTTCACCATATTTCCATTTTGTCCAACAGTTTATTCATGGTACTTTTGTAAAATAAAGCATCCATGAATAGAAGTAATTCAAACTTCACGTTTCAGTTTTTGTTTGGCATTCAAGTGTACTGCACTAATCTAAATATTGATTCACACCTCCTACACTAGAAAGAATCTAAATCTAGATAAGTAATTTTTGCTTAAAATAAATGCATTACTTCTTGGATTGAGGAGGTAAAAGAGACATTCTGCCAATTAAACAAGACAATTTACACTTAAAATAAGAAAACACAATTGTTTTTTCTTATTTTAAGTGCATATTATGTATTTATCTTATTTTAAGAGTAAAAATAGTCATTCCATTGGAAAACTATCTCATTTACCTACTCAAATTAAGGGTAAGTACACTTAATTGAAGAATGTTTTACTTTTTTCTAGATCATTTTTTGCAGTGTATACTTATTTAGCATGTCTGCTCTTTTTCTTACATCAAAATTTCATGTGGCCCTAAACAGTCTTTTCCAATGTAATTTAGGCTTAAACTCATACAAACTTTATTTTCATTTTGTATACAGAGTGTATTCAAAATTAAATTTGATTTATACAGCTTTTTGACTGTGAATGAGCTGCAGCTTAGCAGTTAAATTAACATTTCCATTCATAAAGTGCAGTAGTGATCAAAATGTAAAGAGTGTAGGAGAGACATGGTGCAAAAGGCACTGATATGGAAGGTTCAGAGCAGTGCAAAAATAAATCAATAGATATGGTGCAAAATGCAGTAGAAACATTGAGTTAAGTTCTATTTTGAAGAAATAAGGTTGAGGTTGAGGTTGAAAGCGGGTTAAAAAAAATGTCAGTCTTTCATTCCTTTGGCTCAGATGCTGAGAAAAGAACAGGTTAAAATGCAAGCAGATGTTTTGTACTCACAGTTAACGTACAAAAACAAAATGTTATCAGTAGTGACCTCATCAGAGCCATCTGTTCAGACTTTGACTTTGAGGTTTTGTGCTCTCAAAATTCAAGTTTGAGTCACACATCTTTTTGACAGTAAGAAAAACATTACAGGTTATAATTGTGCAATTCCAGATGACATTTCATCATCTATATTAGGGCTGAAAAAATTAATTGTGATCAATTAATTTGATGAAATACTCATCAACTAATTTAATGATTTAGTAATCGTTAACTGGAGTATAGAGACGCTAACATGTGCTGATAGAGAAACTTACCTTGAAAAGCAACTATACCAAAACTGTAAAAAAATTTAAAAAAAAAGTAAACATTTTACATTTAAGATAAAGCTTTTTCGACTGTCAATATGCTCTTTCCAGAACTCCTCAAGCGGAAAAGCTTTATTTTAACTTGGTATAATTCCACAAAAACAGTTTTTTAAGGAACCTTCTGCTATCCAATTATTAATCGATTAATCGAAAATAATAATCAAGAGATTAATCAATTAGCAAAATAATTGTTACTTGCAGCCCAAATGTGTGTGTATGTATGTGTATATGTGTGTATATATATATATATATATATATATATATATATATATATATATTATAATGGTGTCTGTTTTTTGAGAGATGTGCCTATTATTGTGTAAGAAGTGCATTGTAAAAATGAAAACATGCATTTGGTACATTCAATACCTTCTTTAGAGCATAGATGAGGAAAGGCTTCTGAGAAACCTAAAGGTGCAGCCAGTCATTCGGATCATTTCTTAGCATGACTCATCAGCTCCTGTGCAAACATACAGAGTCAACACATGGTCCAGTGACATGGCTCTAAATGTTTACTGTTGCTGTCTCACCTTCTGTCTCATATATCTCTTCCTCAGAGTGGAAACCAGCAGTGAACATTGCTGCTGTAGACTGTGCTGCTGATGAAAACATACAAATTTGCATGAACTACAAAATCAGCGGATACCCCACCATAAAGGTATTTAAATGGTTAACATGCACCAATGTACTGTGCTTTTTCGCAAATCTGCAGTTTTGTTTGGGTTACTTAAAGACATTTCTTTGTTAAAAACAAAACAAAATGTCTATTAATTTCATTTTAGTTATTATTTCCCCTACGATCCACAAAGAACCACATGATTTACTGCATCCAAAGAAGCTGGGGGGGGATGCAAGTAGAGATGGTAGATAAAATATGATCCACAATTTGAAGCAAGACAAAGCAAAGTGTTGTGAGAGCTTTAGAAAAACAAAACTTATAGAATAAGTCGTGTAAACAAACCAAACTTATGCTTAAGATGAAAAGCTGTGAAATGACTTAAAAACCTCAATTAATGCACCTTTAACACATAAAATAAGTTGAAACTACATTTCAATTTAGATTTAACATTTTATTTCAAATAAGAATTAATGAATCACACAAATAACTTATCCCCCTGACATGTAATGACCTGCACTTACCTGTGTTGCTGTAGAATATTTAGATGTGTTCTTTTAGTAGGAAGGCCAACTCAGCACAGTCTCTTTTTTGTTTGTATTGACTAACTGTAAGTGCAGGAGTCTAACGGATTTGCTTTAACTTTTCACTGAGCTCCCTTTTTAATCCTCATGTGTTCAATTAGTCAGATGTCCACAACAAAACCTGCTGTTTTTATTTAATTTTTAAATATATTTTTTTTAGGTTTTTTTTTTTTTTTTTTTTTTTTTTTAAGGTTGTCATAACCTTTGGACAGATGATTGGGTATATTTGCTTTGTCACTAAAGTAACGCATCACAAACTTTCTATTGATTAGTGAAGTTGATGAATGATTTATAGATCAGTGATGTTCTTAAATGATCCGCAGAAACAATCCTGCTGGAAGTGTCTGCATTTGTGTAAAGTTTTTTCCCAATGAAACAAAGAGGTCCTTCTATTTGAGCTTACAGGGCAGCTTTAACATCTGCGACTCATTTCAAGCAGAAGGGATTTGGAGGTTGAGGCAGGGAGAGAGAGAAACCCCTCCTCTTTTGTAAAACTTCAGTTTTGATCTCTCATGGTCATGTGAGGGTTGACTAATCTGCTCCCACTTTTTTTTTTTTTTTTCCCCTTTACAGTTCTTCCATGCCTACTCGACAGCTGATTCAGCAGGGGTGCCATACAGAGGTATCAATACCCACAGTGAAACAAATAATGAAGCCAGAAGTTTATGCACTTTCTTTTTATATTGAATATATATTTATCACGATACAGGACAAAATAACATATATTAAGGTAAACAGATCTGCCTTTAAATCTTTTATTTTTTTTTTTTTATCACTTTCTCATTATATCATCCTTGCTAAATGGCAGAGTTTTTCTTCTAGGCCTACTGTGGTTGTTCGTATTTGTGTTTAGGGAGCTACTCAGTCACCACTGTTTCCCATCAGTGAATTAAATCCACCTAGAGTGCATGTAGAAAAGCATCAAAGCCTCTTGATTTCCAGGTTTTTCCCGTGATGTTCGAAATCTTCGGCAGCGGATCATAGACAGCCTGGAGTCTCATGGCGAGCCGTGGCCCCCTGCCTGCCCCCCGCTGGAGCCTACCAGGTACTAGTTGTTTTCAAAAGAGGGAAACCACATCTAATTTTCTGTAATATACAGCATTTGTTATGGATTGACTCATTTTGCAAACCACAAAAGGGACACATGATGTATTTGTTTATCTTAAAGGTATAGTGGAGGATGTTCTTTTTGCGGGTGGATCATCAAAATAAGTGGTCCTCCTAATTGTCAATCATTCTGGTGATATGTTTACGTAAGGCCATCTTATGTGCTCGTCCCCAGTTTCACTTACTGATGAGTAAGTGAAGATGAGTGACATAGTGGAAAAATTGCAAATCTTCTTTTAGAAGGTAAGCTTGTATGAGCGATGCAAACAGCAACTTTTAAACAGAGAGTGCACGAGGAGAAATGTGCTTGTGCACGCTCTCGCATACGTTTAATATTTATTCCCTCTCGGGAATAGGTACAGGGTTTTGCATGTGCTTTTTTTTCTTGTTAAACAGTTTTTATTGAGGAATCATACATGAAAATTGAAACATCAACAATACACATTTGTCCTCTTTTTTTATGTGAACAAACAAAAAAAACATAAAGACAATACAAAATCAAAACCAAACAAAAGTGACATAATTAAACAAGAACATTCTCAACCCCCCCCCCAGCCCACCCTCTCTCCCTTTCCCTGGGACTAACATCTTATCACACAGAGAATCAAAGCAAATTCTCTTCAAATAGAGTTATTAATATATTGCTGAAGGGGTTGCCAGGTTCTGTTGAATCGTTTTAAGTTATTTGCTAACGAGAACCGTATTCTTTCCAGATCAGAGAGCCTTACCAGTTCCTCCAGCCATAATTTAACCAATGGAACCTCTGATTTTTTCCAGAACATCAACACTAGCTTTTTCCCTATGATAAAGGCATAAGATAATAGCTGTCGTTGGTATTTATTAAAGTTGAGAAAACTGAACAGAAACTCCGAGCACAATCAGAAATGGGTCCAGCCTCAACTCGATTCTAAGCATATCTGATAAGGTTTTGAATATGCCAGACCAAAATGGGGTTAATTTTGTACACAAACAATAAGAATGAAGAAGTGTGGCTTCTTCGATATGGCATTTGTCACACAGTGGGGATGTATTAGGGAAAATTTTATGTAACTTCACCTTGCAGTAATGAAGCCTGTGCATGATTTTAAATTGAATAAGACAATGTCTAGAGTTGGCTGAACAATTGTGAATATTTTCTAGTGCAGCCTTCCAGAGTTCGTCACTTATCTCCATTCCTAATTCCTGCTCCCAGCTTGTTCTAAGGCCCCGCATGGACGGCAAGGATCTGGATAGTAACAGATTATAAATCTGGGATATTAGATGTCCTTCTCCACCACCTAGCTTAAAGAGTTCGTCAAATTCGTTAGGTAATATATTCTCTAGAGTGCGCATGTGTTTTTTGACATATGCCCTGACCTGCAGGTGCATGTGCTTTTTTTTAAGTGGAGAGGGTGGGTCTTTTCAAAAATTCTGGAAAATCCTCCACTATACCTTTAAATAGAAAGTGTATCATTTGAGAAATTGCTGTTAATAGGAAAGGCCTAAAAGGGATAGCCAACAACTTCCTACTCAGCAGGGTTTTAATTGCTCTATTGCTACTGCAAGCCCATGCTACTCTGCTGGATGACACTCCTCTGCAAAAATGCAGACACAAGCCTCAGCAGCCAACATGCAGCTTATTTTAATGATAAGCAGGAAAACCAAACAGGAAGTGTTTATTTCTGTTCTGACCGTTGCGAAGAAGACACAGTTGCTCCGACTTTGTATTGCACTGTCCTGCAATGTTAAATGTCTAAAAACTGTTGAAGGCCAATGGACATTTTTGCAGTTATTGTTTATTCTCACGTGATTTTTTTTATTGTATAAGGATTGAAAAAAAGTTATTAGCTAATTGTCTGAGTGTATTTATTTATTTTATGGTGACATAACATGTATTCTCTTTGCATTTCCAGTGCCATTTAGAGGGATCTATATAGACCTGCTCCATCTGAGATTTTGCTTTGATGTTGCTGGTGTATTCAATTTAACAGCAGATCTGTTCAATGTCTTTCATTTCTCAGTGAAACGGAGATCAACAACTTCTTTGAAACCAACACGGTTCAACACCTGGCTTTGATCTTTGAAGATGCAAAATCCTACATAGGCAGAGAGGTAAAGATCCATGTCATCATCCTTCTCTGAGGTCTAATCTTTTTTTTATTTAAGCTCCTTCCCTGTAATCACTACAATTAATGTGTTTTATTCACTAACCCTTTGCAGGGAAATTAATCCTTCCCTCTATTTTAATTACTTTTAAAATAAACCGTGACGAACATCTAGGTCATTTTAAATTTATCTTGATTTTGAATAGAATGATCGTACAATTTTATAGAAATAAAAAAAAAAAAATGTTTTTGAATTTTCTCAAATCCAACCACGGCCAAATTTCGACATACAAGCTCAAATATATAGATACAGCTTGTCTAAAATTTAGGTTTAAACCCCCATAACAATTAGTAGGAAACCAAATGTTTTTGTAGCTATAAACAAGGACATTCTATAAACAATCTTAGTAGAATTGAATGAGCTCAGTTGGTTTTGTTTTCTTTAAATGTGTGTAACTGACTTTGAAAACAGACTGATCTGAACTGCATTTAAATGTGCTGATTTCCTCAGTGATTTATTTTAAAGGGACAAAAGGTTAAACTTTTTGTGTGCTTTATCTGTTTGAAATATTTTTCCTTTTGGAGCACCTGGTTCTATCCAAGTTTTATTATCTGACCAAAATCATCACTCTTAAGGGAAAGGGAAAGATAGTTAAAGTTTGGAATGTGCTGCATTGCATAAAATAGAAGATACCTAAAAATTTTCACTTCCTCCAATCAACAGCTGGAAAGTGAAAATCTGAACAACAATGTGCTCTTACTGTATTCTGATGCTCTAACAAGCCATATGCTCCCTTGTGGGTCCCTTGTGTTTCTTCTGCAACTTGGTCTGGGATATTTTTATAGCCCCTATGAGTATTTCTTACTCAGTGTGGATTAGAGAAAATTAAAAGATTTTAAACTGGGGCATCCAGATATTGTTTACGTCTTTGGATTTTTATGCTGTTTATTCATTAAAACCACAAAAAAAAAATCTACTTATAGAACGCTAAAAGGTATGAACCATTACAACATTCACACATGTGGTATATGTATTTACTGGCATTTTACATGAACAGGTGATCCTGGACCTGCTGCAGTTTGAGAACGTTACTGTGAGGAGGGTGCTGAACACGGAAAGCGGTCTGGTGGCCAAACTGGGAGTGACGGAGTTTCCCTCCTGTTACCTCTATTATCCAGATGGTAACTTTACCAGACTCAGAGTGTAAGTGTTTCTGCAGTGTTCCTCTTTCACAACACGGGTGTTGTAACCACACTAGACCACAGTTTACTCAACTGTCTGTTCTCTGTCACAATAAGCCTTTCTGGAGTACTGTGAACACTGTGGCTAAAATTGTTGGACACCATCTCTTGGTCTAATCCAGTTAGTTTAACAAATTAAATAATCAGCTTGAACAGCTAACAAAATTGTTTGCTTTACTTTCAAATCGATGCAATTCACTTTATTTCTATAGCGCCAATTTACAACAAATCTTCTCAAGGCACTTTAAAGAGACTTAAAAGAGTTGATTGCATCCAGTCATTCACTTGAAAGACATGCTCCTCCTGGATCAGCCTGTGGCAACCATTTACACTTGCATCTTACCTTTGACTCTTCAGCAATCCTTTAAACCGAGCATGCATCTAGTGACAGTGGAGAGGAAAACTGCATTTTAACAGAAGAAAACCTCCAGCAGAACCAGGCTTAGAGTGAGAGGTTTAGGCAAACTGGGGTTCAAGGAAGCAGAAGAAGACTTACAGAAAGAAGCAGAGATTAAAAAAGGTAGCAGTCAAATAGCTTCAGAGGTGGCCCCATTTGGATAGACTTAGCCAGGCAGACGAGCTCCAAACCAATTCTGCTAGTCAAAGTAAAAGAAACAGGACTACACTGGAAACAGGCAAAGCTCCAGCATCTATAAACAGAGATGAATATATTTAAATCAAGGATCGAGTAACAATTGGA